TTTAGAGCAAGTTGAAGTTATTTCTCAATTTTCTTGAAAATGGCGAATTTGGAGGGCAATTTTCTCAAATTTGGTCAGTGATACGGTATATAATTTTGTATATGGCTGGAAAGGGCATATCTTCAAGTATCTAAATCCAAAAAAGGGTACCGGTCTGCCAAGCCATAATGGAGATACGGCCACAGAAAGAAAGCCGATTCCCAGAACTTTAGAGGGCTTTTTATGTTTTGCATAGCCATTGGAGCGTAAAATTTGACATGGCTATGTGCAATTAGGAGACAAAGATACTGCAGGATTTTAATACAAAATGAAAATTATATGAGAAAGTTATGGCAGTTATAGATTTTTAGGGGTATATTTTTCAATAATTTGAGAGATTTTTGACCGAGTCGGTTTCAGATATGAATTTCGAGTACGAAGATGGAATTTTGAAGGCCAGGTTATAAGTCGCAGATGCAAGAACATCTCTTAGACTATCTAGAGGAATATGTTAGAAATGTGTAGGATCTAGGATAGTGGAGATAGGAAGGAAGAAATAAAGGCCTTAGAATGGACCAGAAACGGACAAAATGGCGCCTGGACGGTTATGCATGAGTGATTTTGAAAATCGAAGAACGTGGTGACCTTGATGAGATGTTAGAGATGATGCCTACGAAATCTGAAAGGAAAAGGGCATGAGGAAGATACCTAACTAGGAATAACAAGCACTACGTGCAAAACGAAAGTGATTTCCGGACGATAAGGAAAACCAGGAGAACAAGAATATTAATGTGAACGAAAACAAGGCAATGACGAAGGTCGTTATTGCAACAAGAATATTAATGGGGCAGAGTGTGAACGAAAACAAGGCAATGACGAAGGTCGTCATTGCAATTAATGGGGAAGTATGTGAACGAAAACAAGGCAATGACGATATTCGTCATTGATTTTACATTTTCCGCTTTCATATGGATTCATCATTTGACATCCACTTTTGGATCGATTTCAAATTTTCATTCTCATCATTTTCCATTTTCATCCACATTGTTTGCAGCGTGGAATTGCAACCGAATAAAAATTGTCTGGGAACATCTACGTTATTTGTTAGCTTTTTAAAGCAAGATGTTTATTACTGACCTTGAAATCATGTACGCATTAAAAAAAAGAAGGTAATTAATATCTTATTATTTCTTTTCTTGAGAGGGAATTTATCCCACTCCCTCCTTTCCACCTTTTAAATACGCTAGTGTTGGTCTGAGCATTTGTGGAGGTTTGAAAGAAAAACATAACGGTGTGGACAACCCTGGGTTTCTGGAATAATTGTCTCTTTCTATGGCGGATGCGCACAATTTTGAAAGCCCAATGGATGTGAGGTCATGGAGAGGAAAAGTCGACAGAAAAAAACAAAATGTGTCACAGGAACGTGCGGGTACATGAACGAAAACGGCAGGCTGTCGATCAGACAGTAATAGTTAATTAATACAATCTGAGTCATTCACGCGTATGCCTCTTACCACCGTCGTGTCATATTTCGAGCTCTCTCGCTTTCTAACACGGGACATTGTGTCTGATGTGTTTCTTACTCAGATTATGTTTTGCTACTGGTGTTTAGCAGGCGGCAAAAACTCAAGTACTTGGTCTTGTTTTTAATAGTTATTGGATTGTGTAACTTCTTAACTCTTCAAGTAACACGTGAGACAGATAAAAAAAAAAAAATGGACAACTCAATGACATTGGAGAAACGAGATGGAGTTTGGAAGACACGAAGCACGCCACAGGTGTACGCTCTCTTTTAAACGGATCACACCGAAGCACACCAGAGCAACAGAGTGGACACGTCAAACATGAAGTTCAACATTCCAATGTGACCAAATTGGTGGCGCCCCATGTGAAATTCACTTATATCGGTGAAGTTTCTTGCAAGGAGAAGGCAAGAGTAATCGCATTGATAGCCACGCTGCCTCAAAGCACGGAACTTCGACAAGCAATACGAAAAACGTGGGGAAAAGTGAGCCAGATCGAAGACACGGCCCTGCAAGTGATTTTTGGTACTGGAAAACAACCCCTCAAAGATAAGGAAGCGAGCGGAAACGAACAACTGTTGAATGAAATTAAAACTTAAGGTGACATTCTGCAAGGTGATTTTGTCTATGACATACAACATAAAACTACTTTACCACTGCTTTATGGAGTTTCTTGGCTTTTGGAACATTGCAAAGCTTTCCAGTATGTCATAGTGGTAAACGAGGGAACAGTCGTTATGGCAGAGAGGCTTCTTGACCGCCTTGATTACTGCGAAAAGAATGGTATATCGGACTCCCGGACATGGATGGGTAAGATAGTTCCAAAATCCAAGGTGCAGAGGCTAGAGAATGGATTGTTCTATGTGTCATTGGAGCAATACAGTGAGTACTCCCCTCCTTTCTGCACAGATGAGAATGGTTACGCCATCACTAAGACGGTTGCAGAGTTCTTAAATAAAGCGTACATTACATGGGTAACACTCACACTCTCTTTTTTTCTATGATAATCCTATCGAAACACGTGATGTGAAATAGATTTATAGGACAAAATGGCGTCTTAAATGGCCCCCTTGACCAATTTCAAAAATCCGGCCACAAGGTACCCTGCGTATTAAAACTCGGCATGTCACTGCACATTTTCAAGGAAAAAAAAAGGACGTTTAGGGGACGAAAAGCAGTCTGAAAAAAATGACGTCATATAGCCGATACGTGTTAGATTCGGGCGGGAACTCGGCGGAATTCGTGTAGTAACCTTTGTTCAAATGCGATTTACTCACAATTTTCTGTGTGAACATATACTATATTTGGTATCATTCGAAAGGGCACTTCATTGCAGTCAGTTTGACACCACTGTTATCTGCCTGCAATGTATTGCACGCATTAAACGCGCTATTACGTAATGCATAGTAAATTCATCATTTTTGGCGATAACTTTGCGCTGATATATTCGAATTTTACCAAACTTGGCAAACAGTTGTCATGTATATGGATACATATTTTTGCCAAGTTTCATTGATGTAGGTATAAAGATCGTTATTTTAGAGCAAGTTGAAGTTATTTTGGAATTTTCTTGAAAATGGCGAATTTTGAGGGTATTTTTCTCAAAGTCGGTCGGTGTTAGGGTATATAATTTTGTATATGGCTGGAAAGGGCATATCTTCAAGTATCTAAATCCAAAAAATGGTACGGGTTTGCCAAGCCATAATGGAGATACGGCCACAGAAAGAAAGCCAATTCCCAGAACTTTAGAGGGCGCTATTTATGTTTTGCATAGCCATTGGAGCAATTTGGCATGGCTATGTGCAATTATGAGATAAAGATACTGTGAGATTTAAATACAAAACGGAATTTATATGAGAAAGTTATGGCAGTTTTAGATTATTTAGGGGTCAATTTTTCAAGAATTTGAGAGATTTTTGATGGAGTCGGTTTCAGATTTGAAATTTGAGTATGAAGATGGCATTTTGAAGGGCAGGTTATACGTCGCAGATTAAAGAACATCTCTTAGACTATCTAGAGGAATTTGTTAGAAGTTTGTAGGATCTAGGATAGTGGAGATAGGAAGGAAGATAGGAAGGCCTTAAAATGGACCAGAAACGGTCAAAATGGCGCCTGGACGGTTATGCATGAGTGATTTTGAAAGTCGAAGAATGTAGTGACATTGATGAGATGTTAGAGACTATGCCTATGAAATTTGAAAGAAAAAGGACATGAGGAAAGCACCTAACTAGGAATAACAAGCACTACGTGCAAAACGAAAGGGATTTTTGGACGATAAGGAAAACCAGGAGAATATTAATGGGGCAGAATGTGAACGAAAACAAGGCAATGACGAAGGTCGTCATTGCAAAGAAGTACGACTAGAAATGCAATCGTGTCAGAACGATGTGCGTGCAATGACGCCATGTTTTTAGTACGTGTCAAACGAAAGAGCATCTTTCGGACTAGTTACGCAGAGTATGAAGTAGTATTTAATGTCATGCTTAACCGATTTTAAAAATCCGGCTTCTTGATGCTCTGCACTTGGCCACTAAGAATGTGCCTGTAAAATTTTAAGAAAAATAAAGATCGTTCTGGGGTTTAGAAGCGTGAACCCGATTTGCCCCATAGCCAATGCGTGTAATGCATAGGCGGAAAACGTACAGGATCTGTATTATGACCGGAATTTAATTTTTGTTTTTCTCTCTCTATGGGCCCGAATTCACAAAGCAAGGTTTGAGCTCAAACCTCCTTTTGTTTCGCCAAACCTCCTTTTGTCCTTTACAAACCAGGTTTGTAAAAAAACGCGTAAAACGCGTCATATGACGTACGAAAACCAAGGTTTGTCGACAAACCTCCTTTGTGAATTCGGGCCTATATGTCTCTTTATCGGACGTATTTGGTATCATTGGAAAGAGAATTTTGAGTACGAAGATGGCATTTTGAAGGTCAGGTTATTTGTCGCAGAAGAAAGAACATCTCTTAGACTATCTAAAGGAATTTGTTAGAAGTTTGTAGGATCTAGGATAGTGGAGAGAGGAAGTAAGATAGAAAGGCCTTAAAATGGACCAGAAACGGACAAAATGATGCCTGGAAGTTTACGCATGAGTGATTTCAGAAAACGAAAAAGTAGGTGACCTAGATTGGATATCAGAGATTACGCCTACGAAGTTTGAAAGGAATCGAGAATGGAGAAAAGGACCTGGATAGGAATAACAAGCACTACGTGCAAACCGAATGGGATTTTCGGACGATAAGAATAAATAAGAATATTAATTAATAATGTGAACAAAAACAAGGCAATGACGAAGGTCGTCATTGCAAAGAAGAAGTAAGAATATTAATAAGAAGAATGTGAACGAAAACGAGGCAATGACGAAGGTCGTCATTGCAAACAGTTTGCTCAAGGCATCACTAACAAACTTGATCCTCACGATCATAGTACTCGAATCACACACCATGAAGACTTGATTAACGACGATCTCCATTCTGCTCGCCCAACCGATTCAATCTGTCCTGTCACTTTCCCTCCTTGGGGGTCCTGTGATACAGATTGACAATGCCTTGCTCGTCTAAGAATTGCCAGAGCTTATTTTCGGAATTGTAGTCATGATTTGCATAGTTGACATGCTTGGAAAATGTCTTGTCGTAGTAATATTCACTGTAGTCAGCATAGCTCCCTGCAAAGCCATATATACTGACCTGAAAGGAAAAAGGTAAAGAAAAGGGGTACAAAATAGATAGACAAACCTAATCACTGGAGTTACAATGTCTGTTAACATTCTGTTCACATATGCGGCGGTAGACTGCAGCAGTAACTAAATTAATAAATGGATTAATGAATTAAAAAAAAAGTGGCTGCGCACAACAAAGGTCCTACGTACACACATTCATCTGTGTCTTGTAAGATACAGAAATGTGGAGCATAGTAAACTTAACCCTTAGCCTCTGGGTACCGGGTGGCTGCAGTATTAAACCTATAGGATTGACAACATTCAGTAGTCAAGGGGGTAAATACCCCCTTGCAGGAGACAATCACGGTTACCTCCCCATATGTGAACAAGCCTTCAGAGACCGAGGTATCTTGGGAGTTACATTACACGAGCAAAGAAGTGTCAGCTGTCCCACTGACAAAGCATTCACAGACTTGTGTTCATATGTCAAATTAAAGTTATTAAACCTCCTCATTTTTACTTTTACGCAAAATATCTGTTCAAAATATTTAGGTTCATGGTGCTCAAGGAGGACTCAGATCCACAGTAAAACAAAATACAAACACATTCTCAACTCTGTGTACTATGTAAGAATATATAGGAAAACTTGACCACAAGAAACATATACTTTTTAACCTGTTTCTATTCCTGTCATGATTAAGATTTAAAGAAAGAAAAAAAAATGGCTTGTATGCTTAAAGGTGGACTAAGTTAATTCAGGTTTAAGTTAGTCCTTTGGTTTATAGAGCACTATAGGGGTCAAGCTATTTATTCAGCACACATTACTGTAACTGCATCAAAACGAATTAATAAACAAAATACATCCCATCACGAAATGAAAATGAGATATTGATTTCACATAGAAATTGTTTATGCTTGTTCATTTTATTTATATGATTTTGATAATTGTTATGTGATGAGTTGACACTTGGCACTCTATAAATCACTGGACGGTTATGTAATCACTAAAACTGTTATGGAACATTGTGATAATATTGTGATTTACCTGATCACATGTATGTAAGGCTGCTAGTAGCATGATTGCACCTGTTGTAGGTCTGTGGATATCTTTATGTTGAGCTGATGAATTCACCCAACTACAGGAATTGAAATAAAATGAAACATTTCAAAAATCATTTCAAATCAAATAGAATATCACTGATAATGCCTACCATATATACAAACAAACTAGTACACAAGGACCCTGTTTTATGAACAGTCGCGGCTGATTCATATTGATTGCAATTTAAAATTGTGATTCCGTACTGGAACGAAAGGAGTTTAAAAGTTTGCGATTAATTGGTGGATTTACTATCAATACCGATCAATGGTAACTCCTTATAATAAAATTCTACAGTATTTCAACACTCCACGGACGCATGCGCACATGATTGTTTAGAAATTTTGGTGATTTTACTCACACAAAGTTGCTAAACTGATATTGATTATCAGGTCATGACAACACATCAGTTTTCCATGAAAAATTGGCTTCTATTAAGAGAATACCGCCATACTGCACAACACTCGCTACGATAAATCATATTTACGTTTTTTTTTTTTAATCGTAATTTTAGACAACATTCCATAATTCCATAATGATCGTTAATTTCCGTACCAGTTATGGGAAATCCGTACTAGTTGGCAGCTCTGTGTCAAGCCCCAACTTTAAATAGTATTAATAATCTGGTATATTTCATTTTTTTTCAAGACTTGAATATTGGAATTACAATGTACATCAGGTTATCTAAAAGGACTATCGTTAAAGATTTACAAAAAAAAGAAAACTATACACATCTACCAGCACAGACATAACTATAAATATAAATTATAAATAGAGGCCTCGATCATTCATTTTCATTTGCAAGAATATACACCGTTATGATTTATAATAAAACATAGTTTTAGATGCCCATGGAAAATTGTCTCAATGTTGATGAAAATAAAAGTAGTGGACATACTAACCTCCACTTCAGATATCTCTCAAAATCTGGATGTAAAACTTTTACATTGTCTGCTGTCAGCTGCTTGGGAAATGCTGGGGGACCTCTGTTGTGGCAAATAAATCAAAGACAATTTGATGTTAACTTTTAAATTATTTTCCATGCCTGACTAAGGGTCATTCCATTGTGTTGGGGCAATTTTTGTTGACATGTCAGAAGGGAGAAGCTATGTCTCCTATTAACCATGACTGTTTGCTCAAATTGAGTTTAGCATAAAGTATAACCAACTATCTTTAAACGTATTCTAGCTTCAAAAGTGAATCAATATTATAGACCTAAAGTTTATGTCATATTACATAAATGTGATGACTATGTAACACCGTCAAAAAAATATATTAACAAAAAATTAAAAAAAGAAGAAACGCATATTAAGAAGAAAGTTGGAAAGACCAAGAGGAGAAAGAAGAAGAAGAAGAAGAAGAAGAAGGAGAAGAAGGAGAAGAAGAAGAAATCACCAAGCACAAATGAGAGGAAAACAACCCTAAAGATACGAAGGAAGGTGAGCATTTATTGCAGTCACCAACAGTGCATTGCATCGATTATTTTGGCTGAACAATGCAAACAAACCTTTAGCACTAAATACATATCCCCTATTACACCTGAATAAATACTGTATCACAAATATGACAATATAGGTCACTGCCACGGGAATTAAAATTTGTTTCAGTATTCAAGTCTACAATGATAGATGCATGTATACGTATAATAGTAAATGTTTTCCAATAATTGGAGCAATTTGACAATTTATAAATAATGAAACAAACTTTTATGATTTATCCACATCTGAATAAATACTGTATCACAAATATGACTGTTGTGACAGTTGCATTTAAATACTTTATCACCCAAGTCATTTGTTTCTAGTACTATTGATGCATGACATGAATACACATATATTTGTAATAGCACTTCCTCAGGCAAGGTGCCATCTATTGATAACCACTTGATATCAAACTCTCAGAAGGCTACATTAACATGATTGTGCTGAGGTCCAAGAATCCCCTTTTTGCCAGAGCATCAAGGAGATTTCAGTTCTAAGTTTGTCATTATGTCAGGGAAAGAGGTTAGTTTTGTTGTATATTGAGTCTATTTCTATGAAAGTGTAAATTAGTGTGTGTATTTTGTACTTCATACTTAGAGATGTTGATGTTAGTATGCAATGTAATGTAAGACATGCACGCCTATGCTGTTATGATATATGTATATTTGACTCTATATTAAGAACAGTGATAACTAATGAAGATATTGTTAAATACTTTGAAGATTATTATGAGAGTGCTGAAGCACTAAGTAGAGATTTGGAGTTTATAATTGTTTAGTTCATTGATTCAAGCTATAGTTAAATCTAGTTGTGACATTTGTAGTGTGAGTTTGTATTTATGTAAAGCCATTTAATGCAGATGGACAAGAATAGTGACTGGGGTTATTTTAATGAGTTATAAAGATCATGACACAATGTACATTATTTTATGAGTTTCTCAAAGAGACTGTGTTTATTGCGATATTGATGATGCTATGATGTACTTATATTTATTATTCTTTAGCTGTGATTTATCCACAGTTTTCACGGAATATACTAGTACGGAATGTACTGGTACGGAATGAATTGGAACGACATGATTACTCCAATTAAAGCTATGAATTCCTGTAGAAGCCTTTGTTCAGACTTTTGATTTATTATCGACCTCGCTACAGCCACAATGACGATATAGGTCACTGCCACGGGAATTAAAATTTGTTTCAGTATTCAAGATAGTCTACAATGATAGATGCATATGTATACGTATATTTAGTAAATGTTTTCCAATAATGGGAGCAATTAGACAATTTATAAATAATGAAACAAACTTCTATGATTTATCCCTTCTAATGCAATATTGATTTTTGTTTCTTTCTTCAAACTTGATGTGCTACTCTCAGGCACGACATATGCTTCAGTGCTATTTCACCGTATTTCTCATATCTCCAAAATACCAGATGTTAAAGGATTATGATTTATTATATTTGCATTTGTGACTACAAAATTTAAATCGGAAACGCTTGTCATGCATTTCTATCTGAACCTAAATGATAACAAGAAATAGAAGAATGAACAAAAAGGAGCACAAAATATTTCCATTTCAAAGTGGATCGTCCAAAGAATAATCGCGTAACATCGAGGAAGTACGAACAAAATTAGGTCAAACTGAACGAAAATGAGTTCTAACTTACTCTCATTTAAATATAAAAAATAACAAGAGTAAAATACAAGAAATGCCCATGAAAATATTCAGTGATCATAATATATTGTGAGCTTTAAAAATAGAAAGCTTGATGCAAGTGTTCACGCCATAGAATATTGGAAATTCTAGCTAAGCTCTCGTAACATTCATTACTTTTTGTTTACAACAAAAGAAATGACATGAATATTACTTATTCAGACCACATGTAAAAAAAAAACATGCCGTAATGCCACCTTGTGGCCAAATAATGCACGGTAAACAAGTCTGGGTATATTTCCATCCAGCGGCCACATTGTGCGAAACTCTGAATTTGCGATCTATTTCCATCGAAATTGCCGCAATTTTTTTATCATTTTCGTGGACAGAGGTGTCAAATCATAGCTTGGATTGTGATTATTCTGGCCATGTATACCAAATGTCGATAATCATTTTCAAAGTAAGGTTTTCACGATTAAATCTGTGAAAATCATTGTGACAGTTCGGTTGTACACCACCCCAAGACCACAGGCAGCGCTAACAGTGCCTCTGATATCAGAACCAGGAGGTGTGAGGTGTTCCAATATGATATACAGTGTGACCAAGATAAAAGAAACCGAGAATTATCGATGTTTTATCATAACTTAATCCCAATAATAATGAATAAATGACACATATTTGTAGAGCTTAGACCCACCTCTTTCATTTGACGCAACTCGTATGATGCATATTTCACGCATGAGTGATTAAAAGCAATTTGAAGGAAGGAAACCAAAAAGTAATTTGGCGGGCGGTATCTGAATTTCGAAGAAAAATTCAGTTTCTGCCCTTTCATATGACCCCTCAATCAGGAAAAATGAGCAAGGATCAAGCGCGTAGCCAGGATTTGATTTTAGGGGGGGGGGCGGGTGCAGGGAGGGGGGGGGGGTTCGTTGTACCTTTCTCGACTCATAATCCTTGTCTGTATTCAGTCCTCCCCCCTCCTCCTGCGCGAAGCGCGGAAGCTGTGACGTATTATTAGACAAAGTATCTGTATTTAGTCCCCCTCTTTCGAAGCGCGGAAGCTTTGACGTTTAATTAAATTATTAGAGAAAGAAGACGATTCGTTGTTCCGTTCTCGACTCTTTATCCTTAATTTGAAATCAGTTTCTCCATTTCCGCGCGAAGCGCGGAAGCTTTCACGTTTCATTAAATTATTAGAGAAAGAAGATGATTCGTTGTACCGTTCTCGACTGCTTCTCCCTGTTTGTTTGTTTTTTATTTTGGGGGGGGGGGGTGGGGCGACCGCTCCCACCGCCCCCCTGAAAAGGGTCATTTACCAGAGATGAAAAGGGGCATTTATAAGTTTATGAGAACGGGAAGGGGCTCTTTTTTAAAATAGGGGTACTTAACATTAAGAAGAGGGGTAATTGTCAAAGTAAAAGAGGCACCTATCAAATAAATATTCATATTATTATTATTATTACTTATCAAAAGTGAAAAGGGGGACGTCTCGTTCCTAAAAAGGGGCACTTATGAGAATTGAAAATGGACACTTATTGCATAGGGAAATGGGAACTTGTCGAAGGAAAAAGGGCACTGGTCAAAATAAAAGGGGCACTTATGCCAAGGAGGGGCAATATGCAAAGGATATTGGATTTGAGAACATGGTCTAACTTGAGTTATGTAAATGAAAAGGGGCACTTGTCAAAGGAATGCCATAATTGTAGTTTTTTTATAACATTTTTCTAAGCAAATATACAAATACTTGCAATATCAAACGTCAATAATGTTATGAGAAATATTTTCATTTCTATTTTTATATTCGTATATTGTCTTAATGACTCTTTAGTACATGTATGCAATTCATATTTTTCAATGTACATATACTTTTACATCTTCCTATCTTACTTCTATTCTTCATGTTTCTCCTCTACGTTTTCTAATTTGTGCTGCCAAATCAATCTTACCATATTAACTATACATAATAATTATTTGTCAATATTGACAAAATAATTGTAACTGTATTTTATGTTTGAAATATGTAATAAGTCTTTTAATTGTACACATGACCATTTCAGCCATGGGGCTGCGACTCATGTTTTGAATAAACCTAAAAGAGGGGCACATTTCGGGTACTTGAAAAAGTAGGGGCACTGCCCCCGTCCCCACCCCAATCTGGAGGGCTGCATCTGATTTTGGCGCTCTCCAAAACAAAGATGGATGCCAGAAGCATATTTGCTAGATTTGCTGGAGGAAGAACATGCCTTGATCTTCTGCACAATATTGTAGGCCAGCTGACGTATCATGGTGCGCTCGTAATGCTCGCCCTACAGTCTGCTCATGCTCATACGAAACTCGCCGTAAGTCCCCGTAGTCGATCTAAACTCGCGTAAATCTCGTAGGCAACTCAACATGACGCGCCATGACTCGCAGCACGATCGTCTTGCTCGTACTCTTGGAAATACTCGAATAGCACTCGCGTATACTTCAAGGTGGCGAGTTGATGATGTGAGTAAAGCAGGCCTTTTAGCCGAGTTGGAACCTCGAGTCGTGGCGAGCTGGCGCGATCTTATGGCAAGCCGTTTTTATTATTAATTGATTTTCAAGAAATCAATTCTTGACATCAAGAAATAATTTTATGTTGTAAAGCAAAAGTAATTCTTGATATCAAGAATTCGATTTCGTGATATCAGGAATTCGATTTCGTGATATCAACAATTGAATTCTTGATATCAAGAAATATGTTTTAATGATAAAACTGCTTGCCATAAGATCGCGCCAGCTCGCCACAACTCGAGGCTCCAACTCGGCTAAGTGGGAGCCCTGCTTTATGAAAAGTGCATTGCGAGCTTGTTACGAGTAATGC